CAGACTGCAGAACGAAATGTTACCTTTAAAAAAAAAAAAATACAGTTTCAACAGAACAGCCAGAGGCAGTGTCTAGGGCAGGAGTGACCAAACTTACTGACCCTCTGAGGCACATAGAGCTAAGATCAAGCGTAGTAATCTTCAGAAGTTCTCAGGATTTCAGCCCGCCTGGACTCGGAGCTTCAGCCCCACTCCTGCTGAAGCCCCAAGCCCCGACAGGCGTCTCCTGCGGGGCTGAAGCCCCAAGATTCCCTTGCTCTAGTCTGGTAGGTGGAGGATGGAGGGCTCTGTGAGCCATATTTTAAGTGCAAAAGAGCCACATGCAGTTCGCGAGCTGCGTTTGGCCACCCCTGGTCTATGGCATCTCTCTAATTTATTTGGGATATGGCAGAGGCTTTAATTGCAATATAGTATATTCATAATTACTGTGAGAGTATTTAGCCTACAATGTTTTGATCCAGTTAAAATGATTAACAAAGAAGCTCAGGAGTACTTGTGGCACCTTAGAGACTAGGTGCCACAAGTACTCCTGTTCTTCTTTTTGCGGATACAGACTAACACGGCTGCTACTCTGAAACAAAGAAGCTGTTTCTCAAGGACTGTCAACAAGGTTGTGCAACAGAAGGGAAACTGAAGGCTTGATGTTCCCAAAACATGCTGAGCATCTATAGCTGAGGTGGATTTCAGTGGGAGTTTTGGATGCTCAGCACCTTTTCAGGATCAAACCCTTAATAAATAGGGTTAACATTAAGCATTTTCATATTACTGAGACAAACGATACTCCTACAAGATAGCAAAGGGATTTTTAAAGTTAGAACTGGTGGATAATTCTATTTACTTTGGAATCTTTTTCTTCATATACAACAAAGTAATAACTTTTTAAGTGTTATGTTTTAGAGGTATGTAGTTAGACTGAAGTGTAATTGCCACTTTCTCACCAAGACTTCTCTAGCTCTCTTCCTGTACTAATAGAAGTTAGAGTGTCTACAAAGATCTACTTATAGGAATACAATAGCTGATGCCTTTAGTTAAATCGTGGACAAATAAAAATACACATCATCGTAGTTTTTTGCTGCTCTTGCAGCAGCTGATGTAACCATTGCTTAAAACAGATCAGGGAGCTGCTTTGTTTGCACCACTTCGTGATATCAATTCTTGCATGGAGAAAACAGAACTTTGGACAAGAATAGTTGAATCATAGCTAGTGTAATTGTAGACACTTTTCTTAGTGTGTGATGAATGCTTACCCTAGTGAGTCATTGTGTGTGTCTGTCCCTAGTGAATAGGAATGGGCCAGTGCTGGCTGCTCATCTTCTTAGCTCTTGCTCCTGGCAGGATCACAGCAAAGAGGAGCAGTGCAGCCAGCACTAATCAGTGCTTCAGTATCTGTGGTTCAGCATAGTTTCTTTAGTATTAACTCTGTCCTAGAATAATGGAATCAAAGCAACAGAGACGCTAACTTCTTCACCCTCTCAGTGGCCTTCAGGGGAGGGACTAGAGGATTCACATTTTAGTGCTCCTCATGGTCTTGACTGGCGGTGGGGCAAAAAGTGTTTGCTTTTGCTTAGATTTGCTCTTTCCCCACCTTCAACAACATGACTAGAGTGGGATGAGAATTAATGAAGGTGGGGGTGGAGTTGTGGGCAGACTAAAGAGGGAGAAGCTGACTACTGACAGCCTCCTAACTAGTCAAAAACAATGTTAAAAATTGCCTCTTCTCCCCTTCCCCAAAAAATGATCCAGGGACCTTATGTTGTCAGGCAACTCAGCACACAATCGACTCAAAAGCCAGGAAGGGAATCCATGCTGGACTTCTAACTTAGCCTGTATGGAGCTGGAGAGCTCCCACCAGCCACTGCCAGCGTGAGCTGTCTTCGACAGTAGGTGCTCTAATTTTTTCCCCCCAAGGCATAATTCCTTTCAGTAACTGAGAGGGTTAGCAGAGTTTTTACCTTAGTAGCACAATATTATGTCTGCTTGTGCCTTTGTCGCAACTGCGCATTAGGCATTAGTTGCTATTTTGTAAGTTACGTTTAGCAACTTGTTGAGACATTAAGGAACTAAAACTGGACATCATGGTTAGTGTGTACACTCAGGCAGCCACAACCATACAAGAATAACATTAAGAGTAAGACACGTGGCCTGAAAGTACTGATAAATGTACTTAAGCGAGTGTTTTTCAAACTGTGGGTCGTGACCCAGTACTGGGTCACAGCCTGTAAGACACTGGGTTGCCTTGCTCTGGTTAGCACTGCTGACCGGGATGTTAAAAGTCCCGTCAGCGGTGCTGCCCAGCTAAGGCAGGCTAGTGCCTACCTTTTCCGACACTTCGCTGTGCCCCGGAAGTGGCCAGCAGCGGGTCCGGCTTCTAGGCCGGGGGACCACGGGGCTCCGCCTGCAGCCTCCATCCCGAGCACCAGCTCTGCACTCCCATTGGCTGGGAATCAGCCAACGAGAACGGGGGGCGGGTGGTGCCTGCGGGTGAGAGTTGCGCGAAGCCACTTGCGCGCCTCCGCCTAGGAGCTGGATCTGTTGCTGGCCGCTTCTGGGGAGCAGCGCGGTCCGCGGTGCCAGGACAGACAGGAAGCCTGCCTCTGCACCCCGGCTGCGCCGCTGACTGGGAGTTACCCGAGGTAAGTCTGCACCCCAATCCCCAGCCCTGACTCCACCCCAAACCCCTATCCCTGGTCCCACCCCACAGCCTGCACCCTCAGCCCAGAGCCCTGACCCCCTCCCGCACCCCAACCCCCTGCCCCAGCCCTGAGCCCAAACCCAGAGCCTCCCCTGCACTCCAAACCTGTCATCCCTGGCCCCAGCCCAGAGCCCTGATCCCCTCCAGCACCCCAACTCCCGGCCCCAGCCCTGAGCCCAAACCCGGAGCCCGTCTCACACCCCAAACTCCTCATTCCCAGCTCTATTGGGTTGCGGGCATCAACAATTTTTCTTCAACTGGGTTCCCAGAAAAAAAGTTTGAAAATCACTGTACTAAGCTACTTATTTGAGAAAATAATGAAACACAACAAATAGCAAGATTTGATTGAATTTAAAACATGGTATACCTGCATTGAGAGCCTCCTGGAATAAAACTGAATTACGCTTATCTTTTGAAGGAATGATCTCTGCTTCTGAA